TATTTATATTGTTGTTGTCGTTGAGAATATACACAGCAAAACATACACTAATTCAACAGTTTCTACACATACCATTTAGTGACATTGATTACATTCTTCGAGTTCTGCAACCATTCTCAGCTCCTTTTCTGAGTTGTTCCTCCACCATAAACATAAATTCACTGCCCCCTAAGGTTCCTATCTAATCTTCAGGTTGCTGTTGTCCATTTGATCCCATGTATGTATATAGCTATCTTAAAAGAGCATAATACTCAAGGCAGACATTTTTTACTAGTTAAGCTAAACTACTGTTTGTTTTTAAGAAGATTTCAGAGGATATTTTTGGTTTAAGGTTTAAAGATTACCTCAGGGCAATAGTTTCAGGGGTTTATCCACCCTTCAAGGTTCCAGGAAGTCTAGAGTCCATGATAATTTGCAATTCTGTTCTACATTTTCTCCCTTTTGATCAGGATTCTTCTGTAGAATCTTTGACTAAAATGTTCAGTCACGGTAGACAGGCACCATCTCCAGTTCTTCTGGTCTCATGGCAAAGGAGGCAGTTGTTCATGGAGGCAATTAGCCACACATTCCATATCCTCTTCCTATTCCTGCCTCTCCTTCTTCCTCTGTTGCTCCAGATGAATAGAGACAAAATGTTGTGCCTTGGATGACTGCCTGCAAGCCTGATATTTTAATAGTAAATATTTCAAAGGGCACAGGAGGAAAAATGTATCTTCCATTTCTTATATTCAAATAATTTTATTTGAATATTCATTATTTCAATTTTGCAGAGAAAAAGTTCAATTTATTTCCTAAGGTCTAACATAAATGAAATAAACAAAAATTCAAGTCTATACTCTAATTAACAGACCAAAATTCCAAGCATTTACTTTCTCCACAGATATTATCAAAGCTCATTGTGAGTTCCTCGATAGCACAGAACACATGCTTCCTCTCTGCGTTCTGTGAGTTTAACATAATGCCAAGCACCCATGTCTTAGTCTGGGTTCTCTAAAGGAGCAAAACCAGAGAGAGGGAGTGAGAGAGAGAGAAATTTACTTTAAGGAAATGGCTCACACAATTATAGAGGCCGGCAAGTCCCAATTCCGTGGATCAGGTGACAGGCTGGAAGTCTCTGCTGGCTTATGGGCTTGCAAGGGTTGGCAAGTCCAAAATCTGCGGGCAACAGGCTAGAGGCCTTTGCTGGCTTACGTCCCAAGAACCAGAGGTCAGACACTGAGAAGATTGCAGGATCAAGAAGAGTGAGCAAGCTTTGCCAGAACATCCATTTCTATACTAGATGCAGGCCACATACCCAAGGAAATTTCACTTCCAACTGATTGGCTGCTCACATCAGTTCACAAAATGGAGGATGATTACATAATATCTGCCAAACCACTGAGAATCATAGCCTAGGCAAGTTGACATATAACATTAACCGTTACAACTCACTTGGCTAACAATAAATTTATGTTGATTAAATTAATGGAACAACAGCTATCTTTCCTTGCTCGTATCTATTCTGCTGTGGCCACCCTGATGATCCATTCTCTGAATACAGGATACCCCTTCACATCTCATGCCTTTGCATATTCTATTTCGTCTGCTAAACCAGTTGCTGTTGAGTGAGTTCTGACTCATGGTGACCCCATGTGTGTTAGAGTAGAGCTGTGCTCCACTGGATTTTCAATGGCTGATTTTTCAGAAGCAGGTTGCTAGGCCTTTCTTCCAAGGAACCTCTGGGTTGACTTGAACCACCAACTTTTGTTTAGTGGCCGAGTGCATTAAACATTTGCACCACCCAGGGACGCCTACCTTTTCTTCACTGGTCCTTTTACAAAACTCCTTCTATCTTTTAAGACCCAGCACAAATGTCATATCCTCTGTGAAGAATTCCTCAAGGGCATGATGATGCCTCATTCACCTCTATGTCCCCAGACCTGGTGTAGAGTCAGATGAACTAAATGTGTATTGAATGAGCAAGTGAGTGAACAGAAGGGATAGAGCCAGTATTCCATAGCAAATGAGGGCATGAGCTTTATTGTCTGACAAACCTGGATTCATAGTCTGTAAGTTAACATATATCAGTGTGACTTTGATTCAGTTATTTCACCATTTTGAGACCATTTCCTTAGTTGCAAACTGAGGATAATGATAGTACCTGCCTCAAAGGGTTTTTAAGACAATAAAATGAGATCCTGTATATAAAGTGCTTGGCCTAATGTGAAACAGTAGTCATTGCTGATAGAATTGCTCTATGGGTTTCCTTTGATTGCACCGAACAGGTGTCAGTCTGGCTGAATTTGGCTCACATAAGCGTGACGCTAGCAGACAGAAATGGTTTTGGTTGGGAGCCACTGCCACAGCTCCTACCCCATTTGCCTTCCAAATGAAATAGAATTGTTGTTGATTGTATGCTGTCAAGTTGATTTTGATTCATTGCTACCTTATAGGACAAAGTAGAACTGCCTCACAGTTTCATAGGCTGAAATTTTTACTGGAGCAGATCACCAGGTCTTTTCTCCCACAGAGCCAGCTGGTAGGTTTGAACCACTGACCTTTTGGTTAGCAATCAAGCTCTTAACCATCACACCACCAGGGCTCCTTTGAAATAGAGTAAAACTCCAAAGAAGCAGAATCTAACTAACTAGAAAATACTAGCTGATGAGAATTTTTCCTGGCACTTGAGTTTTAAGAGAAAAAGACAACCCTCCCCCTACCCCAAAACTAATATAAAGGTTTTCTTAAATATTTGTTGTTGTTAGGTGCCGTCAAGTCAAGTTTCGACTCACAGCAACCCTATGTGACAGAGTAGAACCGCCCCATAGGGTTTTTTTTGGCTGCGATCTTTATAGAAGCAGATTGCCAGGTCTTTCTCCCGCAGAGCCGCTGGATGGTTTTGAATTGCCAACTTTTTGGTTAGCAGTTGAGCAATAAACCATTGTGCCACCAAGGCCTTGAAAGTAACTTCTAGGGGACGACCTTAGAACACCTTCATCCTAAAGCTCTATACCTTCACACAGCGGCAAATAGGCATCTCAGGGACCGAATTCAGCCTACAGACTGGTGATTTGGCCTGACGCTGTGTTTAACAACATTTGAAATGGATGTCAACATTAAAAACAAAAACACTATTATGGAAATTTTCAAATATATACCAATTTAGAATGATTAATGTAATGAATCCCCATGTAACAACCATGTGACTTCAATAAATAGCAATATTCTGTCATTCTGTTTGACTTTTTTCCCTTTTTCTTTATTTTGCTAGAGAATCTAAAGCAGATATCATATCATTTCACCCATAAATATTTCAGTGTGTACCTCTATCAGATAAAGACTTTTTAAAAAAATAACCATAATCCATTAATACAACCAACAAAATTAAAAATTACTTCTTAATGTGATCTAAAACCTAGTCTGTGATCAATTTTCTCTGATTGTATCAACAAAGTCTTTTGCCGTTGGCTTATTTGAATTAGAATCTAAACAGCCCACACAATGCGTTTGTTGGCTATGTGTCTTATGTCTCTTAATTTACGTGGTATCCCTTCTTTGTTTCTAACCTATTTATTTGTTGAAGAAACTAGATTTGACATTTTAAAATCAGGAAATATTTTATAAAAATCTAGATTTGTGGCTTCTTTTGAAAAACTGGGATATATAGCAGCATTGGGCCTACATTCCCATAAGGCAACGTTTTGCTGGAGTTGGGTAGAGCCCTCAGCCTTTAAACTATGCAAACCCCTTCAGATCTCCACAGTCCATATCACTCCCTATTGTGTCACCCAGCTTAATTCACCTACGTTAACTGCTCAGCACTTGTGGGTTTTGAGCTGGCCACCTCTGCCCCACATCGACATCCACTGGGCAGTGAGAACTGACTGAATCTGGGAATGATGACCTTGGAGTCCTAAAACATCTTTAGTCATTAAATAAACGTTCAGTTTTGTGCATTGTGTAACTGAGGAAGGAATGTAAACTGAAATGTTTATATAATTTTCAGTGAACAATTGAATCAACAAAGGATTTTTACTTAAAATTCCAAGGTAATCTGAAACTTTATGAACTGGCACATCTCTGTTTTGAGCATTCTAGTCTGCTTTATGTCGTCTCTGCAAATATCTTCTTTTTCACCCGCGTGGAGGTTTGATTGTACAAACGCCACTGGACAAGGAGGCACAAGGCCTAGACTTGAGTCCTGGCCCTCTCTACCAACTGGGCTGCCATTTTACCTCCCTGAGCCCCCTATGCAGAGTGGAGGTGATATCAACCTACCTGTCATGGTTGTTGTGAAGTTCAAATAAGGTAACAAATCTAAAATTTGTTTGTAAACCAAACAGCTCTCCACTTAAAGTATTACTATGCATAAGGATATATTGAATTATGCATAACATCCTCTTTCACGCCTCTGTGCATTTCCTCTGCTGTTCCCTCTCCTTGGAATACCCTTAAGAATTAATTGCAACCTCCTCTGGGGTCCCCTAACACTTTATGCCTATTTCTTTATAACATCTGTCACACTGTATTAAAGCCATTTGTTCCCATCTCTGTGTTCTGTGAGATTCTGAGAGTAAACCACAGTTTATTCAGTGTTTGGCACACAGCAAACTTTCAGTGAATGTTTATTGGATTGATATTATGGGTTGATTTGAGTAATTATTATGCATGTATCTGTCTTTGAGGACAAGGTCTATCTCGATACAATTCTAGATACAATTCAGGTATGTCATCTGGCAACTTACCAGTCTTGGCTCTTGTTAAAAGCTTATGATGAAGACAATAGTGATGAAATATTCATGAAAATAGAGTTTTGTATTTTTAATTTAAAAAAATGATCAGACTTTTTGAGTACATTATTTGTAATTTAAGCTCTTTAACAATGAAAGAACTTAAATGTGGAATGCCTATCATTAAATTTTTATACTTTTTCTGCTGGAGAAAACTTACACACTAGTCATTGCTTTTCACCCCCGTTCTCTGTTTGGCTTCATTAACTCAGGCTTCTGGCTCTTCTACAGCTGGTTTGCCATCCACCCAGTCAGCATGAACAACAGCAACCATCTTGTAAATAGTGACAATATGGGCTATGCATCTTACCTTTTTGAGCAAGAGATGAACAGAGGACATCTACCTGGAGAGGTGAGAATTTATGTGATTGGACACTTCATCTTGATTCGTTAAGTGTCATCATTCATGCTGTGTGCAGAATAGCTGATTCAAATCTCCAGAATAAAGTGTCATCATGAACCTCACATACTGATAGTCTTGATAGAAAGAACTCACCATCCTCCCTAATCAGGAAAGAAAAATTAAAAAATGACTAATAAACCATTTACTCTTTGTTTCATATACTACTTATATTGATGGCTTCATACAGTTACAATTAGTTAGGTAAAGAAGGGCAAGTTCAAGATTATTTCCAATATATAATGGTTTTGATCAACCTGGAAATATGATACACTGTGGTGATGTTTACTTTTGTTTTCAGAGATATAAAAGGTATTTAGAACCTTCTTAAAATAGTGTTTAGAAGCCTGAATGAGGACCAGGGATGAGTCCTGGGATCTTACTGGCCCAGAATTCCCTCTTAATGACGAATTCCTTCTCAAGGACCCCGTTCTGCTTTCCTGCAATACAACCAAATTCAGCTACAACCCTAATCCAAAGTTGTTTTTGTAGCTTTGAAAACCAGTGAGTGACAAAATCAGAGATGGAGGGCCAGCAACCCAGTCTATGCACTCCAGGAAGCTCCTCAGCTCTGCATGAATTAATGACTACAGATAGATAAGTGAGAGTAAGGACCTTGCCCTGTTTGACCCCAGCATCCAAGCCCCAAATGCAGAAGATGGGGGAGGGGGCAGGTGAGAGGCCCAGGACCTTGCCCAGAATAAATTTTCTGTTATAAAGCCCCAATAACATTCAGTCTGATCTCTTAGCTCCTTTGTTGACATAACTCACTTTTTTTTTTTTTTTTTTTCCATTTTAGCCTGTAGTTTTAAGGAAAAGAAAGTAGGTTCATATTTATGATCACTGGCTGGTTGCTGAGCACTTTGGATAAATTATCATTTTCGTATCAAAAAAGACTTCTGCCCTCTAATATTTGCTTATCTCTTTCTCTAAGAATTCTAAGGCATTTAAGGTGGAGTCATAGACCAGTTGGGTTGAGGCTAATGTCTTGCCCCATTCTGAAAAATTACGTGTTGTTTATTTCAGGGTGAAAAGCCAGAGAAAAGATACATGGAGGGCAGCTCAGGATAGTGGATGGTATGTTTGGGTTCAGTTTTGTAATAGGAAAATGTAGATTTGCCCTTTTCTTTTTAAGCCCATAGGATATTTACTTTTAAAGGGCAAACGGATCTCCCGAGTTCCAGGGAAAACACTAGAGACTAGATTGATGGGTCAGCATTTTAGAATTTGTTTTTGCACACTGTTTCTTGTCAAAATGTTTCTGTTTGAGGCATAAGTTTGAACCTGTCCGACTTGAAACAACTTTATTGGAAATGACGATATTTTCAGTAATAATACATATACTGACTGCAGTGTGAGCCTCTTCAGAAATAATTTTTCTCATAATTTTGTACATAACTCCTTTTACTGTCTGCAAATGATTTTGCATAGTTCACCAGAGTGGACTGAATGTTTGTCTTTTTAATGGAAGTTATTATAGAAAATAAGATAGCATAAAAGGCAATTGGATGTTTCTTTGGCAGGGACCATATGTAGCAGCTTTCGCTTCATCAAACCTAGGAGATGTGTCCCCCAACATTCGCGGCCCACATTGCATCAACACCGGAGAGTCCTGTGAGAACTTCAATAGCTCTTGTCGCATTGGCGGGGTAGGTAATTGTGGCACCTAAAATCTTTGTTTTTGCATCTCGTGTACATACTATATTGGAATATTCACCAGTAATTTACAAATACGTTTTCCTCAAGTATATACTGGCCTACTTACGTCTAGCATCTTCTCTTCTCAAAAGTACCCTCCTTGTCAAAACCCCTAAATTTCAATTGAGTAAAATTATATTTTTCTAGTTGATTAAGTTTTTTGAATGGTAAAACCATTCAGTAAATGTCAGAGATTAAATATCCTAAACTTGGACAGTCTGAAGCGTTTTGTCTTGGGATTTCTGAAGTCACAAATTAGTACCAAAACCTGCCTGCCTGAGACATTTCTTACTGACTGTACGTCTATGTTGTTGTTAGGTGCTGTCAAGTCAACTTTGACTTATAACAAATCCCTGTGACAGAGCAGAACTGCTCCATAGAATTTTCTAGGCTGTAATCTTTTATGGGGAAAACCCTGGTGGCCTAGTGGTTAAGTGCTACGGCTGCTAACCAAAAGGTCGGCAGTTTGAATCCACCAGGCACTCCTTGGAAACTCTATAGGGCAGTTCTACTCTGTCCTATAGGGTCGCTATGAGTTGGAATCGACTCAGTGGCAATGGGTTTGGTTTTTAGTTTTAATCTTTATGGGAGCAGATCACCGGGTCTTTTTTCTGTGGAGCCACTGGGTGAGTTCGAACCACTAACCTTTTGGTTAGCAGCGGAGTGCTTAACCACTGTGCAACCAGGGATCCTTATAATGTCAATAGGGTTTTTTTTTTTTTAAATAAAGTCAAAATTCCTTTTCTTTCTTTTTAAATTACATAATTAAAAAATCTTGCTGTAAAAATTCAAACAACGTGGAAGTAGTGAGTAGTAGAAAGTGCCTGTTCACCTCCCTCCCTTCCACCTCTGCTCATCCCAGAAGTTACTACTCTCACACCTCTTTCTATGTATTTGTCTATGCATTCCATTTATAATATTTAAGTATTTGATCAATCTCAAATTTTTTTGATGTAAGAAGTAAAATATAGAGCCAGATTTATTTATTGATTTTTCCCAAAGGGCCAGCTAGTTGTTCCAATATAATTTTAACTGAGTTTCAATTTAAGATGATCATGAGCAACAGTCATAGATAGGAACTAGCAAAGTAGAAAGCCTGCAGCAAACGGAGTGACCTGGCGTTGAGTCTTAGCTACCTGTGTAGCTAAGTCCTCTAACCCATCTGAGCCTCAGTTTCCTTATCTTTAAAAGGACGGTGGTGGAATAGATAATTTCTGAAGACACTGACTGCTTCAATTCCATGCATGATTTTGTTTATCCTAGTCTGTAAATTAAGAGAATTTCTGGAAAGAAATGCTAGAAGGCGGCTTTGAAAAAATCTGTTTGCTGAGATTCAGTTGTAGTTTCTTATTTCTTAAAATAATGGCTTATTTCTGTAAGAAGGCATCCTTCCTCGTTTTCTTCCAGCCCAGCATGTGCATTGCTACGGGACCTGGAAAGGATATGCTTGACAGTACACAAATTATAGGACGATCCATTTATCAGAGAGCCAAGGTAAGTCATGGGCCTAGTTCCTTTCACCTTCGTTTAAAATTATTCTTTAAAATCCGCTGACACTGTTCATTGGGAAGTCAATAATTATAAGAAAGACAACAAGAGCTCAGGCAGTGCTGGGGAATCTGGAAGACTGAATGCAGTTACATGTCAGTTAAGGAGGTTGCTTTCACCAGCCTCTCTCTGAAAGCTTGGGTCTGACTTCTTACAGGAAGTACATTTAAAACCAAGTCTTTGGGAAAACATTCTATTTTAGTCAGAGCACTTGCTTCAGAGAGTAGGTGATAGAGATACATTGTAAGGTTTTCCACTAATGTGGCCTCAGATAAAATGAGACTGATCCAAATTTGGCAGGCTGTTCTTGTAATTCTCTGAGGCCTATGCCTGCCAAGTCAGCTGACCACTTTTAATGATTCCTTTGGTGATAAAGCAAAGCTGAGAGGCCCAACTCCCAGCTCTCACAATTTGGATTCAAGTTAATTCCTAGCATTCTTTGATGTGGCAAAGATTATCCATTTTTTTCTTTTCTTAAAAATTGTTGATGGAGAGAGAAGTGGCCTCCAGTGAGATTACTATGAATTACCCTATCCTCCTCCCTTTCCTAAATTTTATCTTCCATTTTGTCCCCATATTTTACATCCATTTCTGTGGAGACAGATTTCCTAAAAAGAAAAATGTTGACCTTAAGTTGGTATGATAAAGGAGAATTAAATCCCTTCCTCTTACCTCTGCCGTGTGTGTGTGTGTGTGTGTGTGTGTGTGTATAAGTAAATATTTTGTCCCAAGTATCTAAAATGTTTCAGAAGCAATAATTAAGGAAGAACAAAAGCACTTTGAAAAACCTCAGCCACAAAATTGGTAGCACCAGCCAGCCTAATTGCTGCAGTTTCTCTTTAATTACTGTGGTATTATTAGCAGATGATTCTAAATTAACAGATTCTATTTAGGGTGTGTGCCAATGACACACTTTGGTGTTGGAAATTTTGTTACCGTTTACAGGCCTGGGAGCCATAGTGATTTGCCTGCCCCACATTCTGGATTCTCTTCTCATAAGGCACAACCTCCCTCTTCATGGGGAGGCAGGCTGCAGCTGGTGTTGCTGATGACATACCTTGGAAGCTCGCGGAGCGTTGTCGAAACTAGGATGGGTACAGAGTGGAAGTGGGCTAGGTGTCAGGCAAGGGGATTTGTGCTGAGCAAGATGTGCCTATATTGTATAATGAAGATCAATAAAAACGGAAGTTTCTGAACATGTTTACTCACATTTTCCACAAGATTGAAAAAGCATCAACTGGCCATATCAAAAAAATTAAGAGCTGATGTGGGGGTGGCATGGGGCTGATGCAGATTAAGTGGAGCCTGATGCCTTTCAGGTGATTCCTTGGTATCAGCCATGTTAGAGGATTGAACGATTCTGAGAGGGATACTCCATGGGGAAACCTGAGGATAGATTCATTCTGGCAAAGAAATTAATGTGGCTCATCCTCCTAATCTTGGAGTCCCTGGGTGGTACAAACAATTATCATGCTTGGCTGCTAATCAAAAGGTTTGCTGTTCAAGTTCACCCAGAGGTGCCTCGAAAGAAAGGCCTGGCAATCTACATCCAAAAAAATCTTCCATTGAAAACTCTATGGAGCACAGTTCTACTCTGACACACAAGGGATCACCATAAATAAGAATCAACTCGACGGCAACTGGTACTCTTAATCTTAAATTTTCTTGACTGTATTTCAAGTGAGATTGGGGCCATCTGTGCCACTGTCTGTATCACTGGAATATCATATCTGTGTGAGTAGACGCAGGTTAACAGTCCTGGGGCTGTCGAGCTTCTGGGAAGCAACTGGGGTTGGTAGTTACATCCACATGGGTAGTGGACTATTTCTAAGCAGCCAGGAAGACAAAAGCTTTGCTGAGAAATGCTTTCCCAAATTGTTACTTATTGGGTAGATCTGGTAGAATTTGTGTTAGTGATTTTACTTGTAACAGCAAGCCTGTGTGGGTTTTCTAGGCACTCTATGACTCTGCCTCCCAGGAGGTAACTGGACCGCTGGCTTCAGCTCACCAGTGGGTGAATATGACGGATGTCACTGTCTGGCTCAATTCCACATACACAGTAAGTGTCACTGAGTCACACGGATTATGCCAGCAGAGTAAAAGCTCTGGGGCTATCTCATTATTTACTTGCAGCTTAACTTCTATTTCCTTTTCTGTTTGTTTTGTTTTTAAAACCTTTTTTTTAGGTAAAAACCTGTAAACCAGCATTGGGCTACAGCTTTGCAGCCGGCACAATCGATGGAGTTGGAGTCCTCAGTTTCACACAGGGTGAGTGGAGTCTGATGAATCTCCGGTTCCCGGGGCTGAGGCTTCAGGGTTCTGTTCCCTGCTAAAGTTTTAGTTGTAGCCAGTACATTTGTTATTTTTATTTTTGAATCTAGGGGTGTGCACGTTTTGCAGGTTTGCACATGACAGCCTAGATTTTCACAGGGAGAGAAGCCTCTTTGGAACTTGGCGTTCCATTAATTCAAATATAATCAGAGACAAATTCTTTTTGCATTTCAATGTACAGATGATTAATAGATGATTAATTTTAAACTGGGCTGCGGCTAGAGTAGGATTGAGGGAGTAGGGAGGGGAACTGTTGTACCTGATATGAAGAGGATCGACCATCTGTTGTTAGTGTTGGTTTCCCTGACTGCTTTAATGGAGCCCGTCTTCATCAGGCAGAGGCCCCTAGGATCCTAAAGCACGTGGTCCCGGGTTCTCTCCTTGTATATATTTCCACAAATTTACCACTGAAATGCATAATTATTTTAGCTTTTATACTTTTATCCTGGTTATCATTGAAATAATATGCATTGGAAAGTAGAGAAAATGGAAAACATTGAAAAGAATATCACCTACAGGGAACGTTTTGTCTTTCGTTCTTCTCTTTTATGTACATATATTTCGGAACCATTAATTAAAAGAAAATTAAGAAATACACTTGCAATTTGATCTATTTGACATCATACCAAAAAAACAACAACAACAACAAAAAAACCCGTTGCTGTCAAGTTGATTCCAGCTCATAGCCACTCTATAGGACAGAGCAGAACTGCCCTATAGGGTTTCCAAGGAGTGGCTGATGGATTCAAACTGCTGACTTTTTGGTTAGCAGCCATAGGTCTTAACCACTGCCTAGTAGTCTTTCATCTAGTTTGGTCTAATATTCTAAAGCGATCATTTTTTAAAAACAGCTTTACTGAAATAAAATTTACATGCTGTATAATTCATTCATTTAAAGTGTACAATCCAATGGTTTTTAGTATATTTAAAGATATATGAAACCATCACAACAGTAAGTTTTAGAATATTTTCATCACCTCAGATAGAAACCTTGTGCCCTTTAGTTATCACCACTTAGCTCCCCAAAACCCCCTCACTCCTCAGCAAGCACTAATCTACTTTCTGTCTCTATAGAGTTCTCTATTCTTGACATTTCATGAGTGTAATCATTTATTTGTCCTTTTGTGTCCAGCTTATTTTACTTAGCATAATGTGGTCAGCGTTCATCCATGTTGTAACGTAGTGGTACTTCATTCCTTTGAATGAATGATATTCCATTGCATGGATATACCATATTTTGTTTAGCCATTTGCCCACTGATGGGCATTTGGGTTGTTTCCTCCTTCTGGTTATTCTGAATAATGCTGCTTTAAATATTCATGTACAAGTTTTGTGTGAGCATATGTTTTCATTTTTCTTGGGTATATAGCTAGAAGTGGAATTGCTGTGTTATATCATTGTTGTTAGTTGCTAGTTGAGTTGATCCTGACTCATGGTGAACCCATGTGTAACATAGTAACTGTATTTAATCATTTGAGGAACTGTCAGACTGTTTTCTAAAGTAACTATACCATTTATGTTCCCACCAGTAATATATGAGGGTTCTCATTCCTCCACATCCTTGCGAAGATTTGTTATTGTCTGACTTTTTTATTACAGCCATCCTAGAGGGTGTGAGGAGTCCTTGGGTGGTGCAAATGGTTAAGTGCTCAGCTGCTAACTAAAAGGTTGTCAGTTCAAAGCAACCCAGAGACACCTCAGAAGAAAGGCCTGGAGATCTGCTTCTGAAAAATCAGGCATGAAAACCCTATGGAGCACAATTTTACTCAGACACACATGGGGTCGTTATGAGTCGGAATTGACTCGATGGCAACTGGTTTATTGGTAGTGGGTGTGAAGTGGTATCTCATTGTGGTTTTGATTTGCACTTACATAATGGCTGATGATGTTGAACCTCTTTTCATGTACTTATTGATCATTTGTATATCTTCCTTAGAGAAATGTCTATTCAAATCGTTTGCTCATTTTTAAATTAGATCATCTTTTTATTATTATTATTATTGAGCTGTAGAAGTTCTTTATGTATTTTAAATATAAGTCTCTTATCAGATATATGAGGTGCAAATATTTTCTCTCATTCTATAGGAGAAACTTTTGAACCACAAAGGTTTTTAATTGTGATGAAATCCAAATTATCTGTTTTTTCTTTTGTTGCTTGTGTTTTTTCTGTCATATTTAAGAATGTTTTGCCAAATTTGAGGTCATGAAGATTTACCCCTATGTTTTCTTCTAAGAGTTCTATAGTTTTTAGCTCTTACATTTAGGTTTTTGATCCATTTTGAGTTATGTTTTGTTTATGGTATGAAGTTAAGTATCCAACTTCATTCTTTTGCATGTAGCTACCCAGTTGTTCCACTACCATTATTGAAAAGACTATTCTTTTCCCATTAAATGGTCTTAGAAATCAATTGACTGTAGACATATGGTTTTATATTTGGACTCTCAATTCTATTCCATTTATACATTTATCCTTGTGCCAGTACTGCACTGTCTTGATTACGTAGCTCTGTAGTAAGTTTGAAATCTGGAAGTATGAATATTCCTACTTTGTTCCTCTTTTTGAAGACCATTTTGGTTCCTCGGAATTCCATATGAATTTTAGAATCAGCTTGTCAGTTTCTACAAGAAGTCAGCGGGGAATCTGTTGAATCTGTATATCTATTTTGGTAGTATTGTCATTTAAACAATATTAGGTGTTCTGATCCATGAACATGGCACGTTTTCTCATTTATTTCCCACATTTTTATGCAAATAACACCTGGTTATATGTTTTTGTATACAGCACAACACCCCACGCGTTATTTTCAAGAGTGCGCTATACCAATGTTTTTTTTACATGCTTCAGAGTTCCATTTTTTTTTCTGTCCAACGAATTTAATGTTAAATCTTTATCTTAGTGTCTGTTGACAGGAGGTGTAGTTCCCAGTGACAGACCCTCACCAGCCTACCCTCGAATTTCTAAATAAGCTCCTCTCCCGGCAGGACTCCTTCCCTGCTCCGAAAACTGCTTTCTCCAATGCAGAAAAAAATCACTTTTTCCGCCCCAGAAACGGCCTTCGCCAGGGCAGCTGCCCTCAGCCCAGGTGTGCGCGGGTCTGCGTGCGCTCTCGGCAGGAGAGGCCTTGCCGGCGGGTGAGGGAGGCCGATGCGCCGCAGCCGTGTTTATTCCACCCCGCTGCCTGGTTGGCCGGCTGCCACGCGCATCCCATTTGAACCTCCTGCCCGCGCTGATGCCTTGGGGCGGGCATGAGAGCCGTGGGTGCAGAGAGGTTGCGCGTCCTTCGCGTGGACGACACTGGTGCAACTGGCGGCCCCTGAGCCCCCGAAGCTGGGGGCTGTACCTGCACCGTCCTGCCGCCTGGCTTCACGAGGGGTCGGCACTGTGGACACGGGCACACACGGGCAACGGCCCTTGGCCATTGTGGAACCAGCTCATGCTTGGGCTGTGGCAGCCCAGTGGCAGCCCTCCACCAGACTCTCTGCCTGTCTTTGGTGCGATGTACCTGGGCGCAGAAAAACTGCAAGGAATTCCACCACTCTCAGGCCAGGCCGCAAACTGCCCTAGAGCAAACACAGTTTCAACTGTTTATTTTCCCATTACTGGGGTACTACCAAACTCGATCCATGACTTCCTGACCACGGGTTATACTTTATTATACAAATATAATCAAAAGTAACATTTCTGGACTATTGAATGAGGGTGAATAAGGCTAAAATTCACTTCGTGAAATGCCATGACACATGCACGGTATATGCATGGGGGCGGCGCAGTTATGTGAGAACTTTTAACATAATTTCGTTATTTCCGCGCTATACATGCGTTTTAATGCTATTCACGTGGGCACGCTATATGTGAAAAATGTGATAGATCTTCTTTATTTCAACAATGTTTTGTAGTTTCCAGAGTATAAATTTTGCACTTTTTAATTAAAAGTTTGTTATTGTTTTTTCCTTTTGTTCCTATTGTAAATGGAATTGTTTTCTTTAATCTTTAAATTGTTCATTGCAAGTATATAGAAGTACAGCTGATTTCTGTATATTGATATTGTATCCTAAAATCTTACTGAACTCGTTTATTAGGTCTAACAGTTTTTAGTGGATTCTTTAGGGTTTTTTCTATGTAAGAGCATGTCATCTATAAACAGAGATAGTTGTACTTATTTCTTTCCAACCTGGATGCCTTTTCTTTCTTTTTCTTGCCTAATTGTCCTGGTTAGAACTTCCAGTACATGTTGAATAGAAGTGGCAAGGATTGTCTTGTTCCTGACCTTGGGGGAAAAACATTCAGCCTTTCACCATTAAGTATAATGTTCTATCATCACCACTGGTTGCTGTCGAGTCAGTTCAGACTCATGGCAACCCCGTATGTGTCAGAGAAGCACTGTGCTCCATAGGATTTTCAGTGGCTGACCTTTCAGAAGTTGATTGCCAGGCCTTTCTTTTGAGGTGACTCTGGGTGGACTTCAACCTCTAACCTTTCAGTTAGCAACAAAGCATGTCACATATCTAGAGCTAATTATTTTAGATTGTTTTTGCTTACAATGTAGGTGAGCAACAGCGATAGAACTACATCTTTAAGGATGTTGAAAAAATGTGTGCTTTTAGTCTACTGACCACAATGAGGATCTAATTAATTAAATATTCCTATTTTAGGATGTACAGGATATTTTGCCTCTTCTATTACTCCAACTGGTATCATTCAGCAACCTTAATAATATCTCTGAAGCTCTTAAAAGAATTGCTGTACAATATTCATGAAAATGATGACTTTTTCACAGGGTTGGTTCAAGAAATCATTTTAAATATAACATTTCTAATAGGGAAAACAGAAGGGGATCCTTTTTGGGACATCATTCGGGACCAACTCATGGGCCAGCCATCTGAAGAAATCAAAAAATGTCATAAACCAAAGCCAATCCTTCTTCACACTGGTGAGGTAATGCAGGTTAATTATCATATTGAAATTAATATATTGTTATCTTTTAAATTGTGAATTGTCAGATAATGAATGGTAGATTTCTGTTGACATAGGAAGTGTTATTCAGCTATTCTCACATTAAATTTTTATGTGGATTAATTTAAAATATGGTTGCTATGAGTCTAAATCTAAGAAATAAAGGGCATAATTATTATATATACTAATCTAGCTTTTTGCATCTATGATAATTAAAAGGAACAATTAGAACAATTGGGAAGGACAGATAAGATTAACATATATCTTATTCAGAATTCGTTCATATTGGCTCTATGAAGGGAGTCTACACGCAATTCTCTGAAGAGGAGACTATCTCTGGTCATGTATAAAGGAACATTATCATGTCTCAATTTTCTTACCTTCAGGCAACATTACTAACTAAAGCAGTCTTGTTTTAACACTGCTTTGGAACAGTATTTTGACGTTCTAAATGTTAAAAGATCATCCAGTGTTCATAAAAGCATGGATTGCCAAGATAGAAAATTTTTAAATAGAAATTAAAATTCACAGGAAAGAAGAAAGGAAGTGGAGGGGAAGGTTCTACACCAGTCTGAATTTGGAAAAGGATAGGATCCTTTTGGAGAGACTTTGAAAAAGAAGGCAAGACTTGGGAACTGAAAACTTAGAGTTGTATTAGAGTAAAAGAGAAATCCTTAAGTTAACATATTCTAAATCATGGAATGCCTGTAAAAGACTTTAATTTTCTATAAGGAAAGTCACCACAGTACTCTAGGAGAACCCTTGGTTGTCTGTTACATGTTGTGATTTATTCCACAATGAGAAATCCACCCAAAACCTCACTGATGAGAAAATAAATCCATGTTATTGGGTCATTGGCATTTGAGATTCAAAGGTTGTAACCAAAACATAAATACCCAAATAGAATATTTAATAGTATATCATGAATTAGAGAGAAAACTTAGGATGAAAGACCAAAACCAGTTGAAAACATTTTAAATCCTTTAATAAAGGAATTTTTGTGAACATCATCTCTCTCTTAACCATAGAAAAAATAATATTCCTAACACAATTTTTGTGTTTTGGCTTCTCAGCTGACAAAACCTCACCCTTGGCACCCAGATATTGTTGATGTTCAGCTTATTACTCTTGGGTCTTTGGCCATATCTGCCATCCCAGGGGAATTTACGTAAGTTCTTTTTATTTCTTAGTTAAACATGTATTTCTTGTGTGTGTTTCTGTTGTAACCACTGGCAGGTAATTCTCTATTAGCCCCTTTGATCCTGCTGTATTAGATTTTACAACAGTGACAGATATTTCTACCATCTTTTGTTGGGGGACCTCTGAAGAATGAGTATGCCCACATCTACTACTGGTAGGGTAACTCCAGGCATCATTGAAGCAAACATGAAAATTGGAAAACTTATCATTCCAAATTACAGTGAAATCTGTGAGAGCTGGAACTGGATGGGACTACCTTGTTTTGCTGGATCTTGCAAGTTTTCTGTCTTTGACAGGGTGCAGTCTTACCACTCTTTTTTCGCTTGTTTTGGTGGAAAATATTTGCGTTTTCCTTTGCTGACAGGTTTCCGCCTTACACAGGTTCTGGCTTTTGCAGGTTTTACTCTACAATGATACTGTGAATTATTATGTCAGTAGAAAGACTTGAAATAATATTAAAATATATGTACTTGGAACAATTAATTTAGACATTAAAAATATGGAGGGATGTTTTAAAGCTACTCTCTATGCAGTCTTTCCTATCTCAGTAAATGTCAATTTTATATCCTTCCAATTGCACAGGCCCTAAATCTGGGAGTCATACTTGAATCCTTTCTTTTTCTCTTTTCTCTAATTCAGTCCATCAGCAACTTCTATGCATTCTACCCAACACTTTCTATCACTTTCTCTCTGATCTAAGCCTCCGTTATCTCTCATGTGGCTTATTGCAGTATCTCCTGTTTGGTCTCTTTGCTTTCCTCCTTGCCTCTCTATTGTCTTTTCTCAATTACACGGTAGCCTTATACCTTCCAATATACCTTCCCATCTCAATCTAGTTAATCCTCAAACCATTATAATATTCTACAAGACCGTACTTAATCTGGCCTTCAGCAACCTCTCTGATCTGATTTCTCAGTACTTTGCTTCAGCCACCCCTTACCCACCGCTCCTGCAGCCACCTTGGCCTCACTGCAGTTCCCAGACTCACCAAGCATGATTCTTTTTCAGGATCTTTCAACTTATGATGCCCTTTGCATGGAATACTCTCCCTCTAGTTATCCTCATGGTGGCTCTTTTATTCCTTCAATTCTCTGATCAAATCTCACCTTAACAAAGATGCCAGTCCGGGTTATACTATACAAGATAACCTTCATCCACCATCACCTCAACCACATCACCACAACCACGTCACCACCATCACCATCGCGATTACCATCACGCCCTTTCATCCTTACTCTGCGTTATTATTCTCCATAGCACTTAACTATTGCCTCATTTTTTAATTTGCTTTTTGACTATCTCTGCTCAGTAGAATGTAAGCTCCATACTGCTGAATCCTTAGCACTTAGAAGTGGGCCTGGCACACAGTAAGTGTTCAGTGTTTGATTGAAGGACTAAGTAAATGAGTGAAATGGTCAGTTTCTTGCGGGCAGGAACAGTACAGTCTCTACCTGTCTTGGTTCTTATAACATAGAATATAACCGATACATTTTGTTGAGTCAGTGAATGAAAAATGATTATGATCTTTTGCCAGTGATACTCCCTGATTCTGTTTCTCTCCTTTGGTTAGTTGACTGTTTTCAGATTCGAATTGTTTCTAAATATATTTTGAAGATTGGACAGACAAGAAAAAAAGTTCAGTTTTCGCTTTGCATGGTCATTGAGTTTCTACGTACTTCACTGCTGTGTAATGAGCCAGGATAACTTTTTGGCTTTCACTACAAGGCTTTCTGTATACTGCAAACACATTTTAAATAGGAAAACACTTAGGTAATTCTGTTTTCTTGACTCAGGACCATGTCTGGACGAAGACTTCGGGAGGCTGTTCAAGCAGTAAGTTAAAAATGAAATATCTAAATCTGAATTCCTAAATGTATTCATATTTGGTGAAGAGGAAAAAAAAATCACTACCTCTATGATCTAAAACCCATTGCTGTTGATTCCGACTCGTATGATTTAGCACCTTTTAAATTTATCCTTCGTAAGATGACTAACGTAGGAGAAAGATGTGGCAGTCTGCTTCCATAAAAATTTACAGCTTTGGAAACCCTATAGGGCAGTTCTACTCTGTCCTGTAGGGTCACTGTGAGTCAGAATCGACTCGATGGCAGGGGGTTTTGGTTAAGATAAGTGGAAGCAGCCCTACAGGCTCAGTGGTTAAGTGCTTGGCTGCCAGCCGAAAGGTTAGCAGTTCGAGCCCACCAGCCCGATCTACTGGAGAAAGATTGGCGGTCTGCTTTCATAAATATTTACAGCCTTGGAAATCCAATGGGGGCAGTTCTGCTCTGTCCTAGGGTCTCTGTGAGTCGCAGTCAACTCAATAGCAATGGGTTTGTTTTGTTTTTTGAAGATGACTAGATTTTCGTACTTCTTGAAAGTAATGGTTAGATGTAACTATGAAACACTGGTGGTATAAGGGCCAAACTAAAACTATAAGGGAATTGTGGTCAAATTGAAAATATTTTATTGGTATTTATGTATTAATAATTTAAAAGTTGCAATGGTTTTGTAGATTAAATAACAAATAACTCTTAAGTACCTTAACATCTTAAATTCACGTAAACAGTTTACATAAAATGTGTCACATGTTGGGAATTCTGCATTTTATTCTCACTTATGATTTTGTTTATAATCAGGAAGTATTGAAAAAGGTTCTAAAATGACATAATCAACAAATATCTTGTTACTTGGATCTGGAAATAACTGCTCTGGTTAGCTAACCTCTACCTGTAATCATTTTTAGGAAATTGATAAAATATTTGTAATTTAGTAATAAGAAGCTTCTGCCTCTGCAGATGCAATCATTAAGATGTTCATAGATCCATCGACTTGCCTAATTAGAGTGCAGAGTTATGACTCTAACTTATCATCAAGGTATCTTGTATCATAAGTTTTTACCATTAGGAAGAATTTGGCTAAGACAGACCTGTTACACTGATAATTCAAAGTTATGACTGTGCAGGAAGAGTGTCTTGAATGTTAATATACTTTAAGATGAAGAGTAATTTCATTGGGCTCTGCCTTTCCCCCTAGGAATTTGCATCTTACGGGATGCAGAATATGACTGTTGTTATTTCGGGTCTATGCAATGTTTATACACATTACATTACCACCTATGAAGAATACCAGGTAAAGTAAAACTTTCTCGTCATTTAAATAAATTACACCAAGGTCACTCTGCCAAATGCAGATTTTCTTTCTAGACTTCCCCAATCATGTTTCTGTGACATGATTTTGCCTTAGGGCAGATAAGAGAATAATAAGTCAGAGATTGTGTTTGGAAATTCCTTATTCATTATTTCCAAGGTCAGAATTCTAGTTTCACTGACTTCCACCTTCCCTGAAATAAATTATTTTGTTAGGGGTACAGGAAATAAGCCTGGGTTGTGGCATGCAACACTCCTAGCTATCCATAATGCATCTGGTGCCTTAAGCCTCTGCAGAACCTGGGAAGACTCCTGTTGATAGTTACAATGTATTGACTGCAGTAGCTAAGCACTTTGCACATGTGCTCTTCAGTAACACTAAAACTAGCCCTGGAGTTAGCTATTACTATATCCATGTTATAGATTAAGAAACAGAGTGTCAAAGAGTTTAGGGCAGGCTGGTGGCTGTCAATATGTCTTTCTTTCTTTTTCTTTTTTTGATGTTATCGTTGTTTGTTTGTTTTATGAATAGTTCAGAAAGTAGGCCAAATAATTTTTTAACAATAGTAGTTAAAACACGAAAACAGTCCAAGAGTCCCATAACTAATGATCTCTAATATATCCAATACAGTCTACCCCTTGACAAATGCTCAGTAATACCAGTGGTGGAATCTGCTCCACTGCTCTTTGTTGCCTTTAGTAAATGTCCCTGCCTTAGAAGAAATCCTGTTGAATAAAAGTTCTTAACTGGGGCAAACTTAGATGGGAAAAATTACATGTTTTTTTCTACTACTATCTAACTGACATTTAGTATTTCCCCCAATTTTAAATTTTGACACTACACCACAGTAGCATTAGCAGTACCTCTGATTTTGATACTAGTAGGAACTAGAAATATTTTTATATCGCATACAGTTATTGCAGATCTTGAAGTATTTATTGCTGTTTTGAAATCACAGTAGTTATTAGATCCACTGCTAGATCTTATTATTTAATAATATAATTAAAAAGTACCTATATGACTAGGTACTATACCACAAAGTTGGTCTATCATAGTTTGGTAAGTGTATTTCGATCTAACTGGTTTGCTTTATCAATCCCATATGTTTTATTTTATGCATTTAGAAGCATTATTCTGAGGGGTCCATAGGCCTCAACAGGCTGCCAAAGGAGTCCATGAGAAAAACAAGGTTAGGAACCCCTACTAGATTGTCTCCTGGTTTGGAGACATGCTCCTGCAAGAATTACTATTCATTCATTTGCTCATTTGACAAGTATGTGTTGTGATACATGCTATACTAGCCACTGACTAGGGGCCATAACAATAAATAAGACTCTGTCCCTGTGCTAAAGACCACTAGAATTTAATGGTCTAGTGGGAAGGCATAGAAGAAAGCAGATGATTACATTCTTTGAAAGACATGCACAAGGTGTATGAAAACACAGAGAAAGATTACCAGTCTAGATTGGATATTTGAGGATGGGAACAGGCAGACTTTTGGGAAGATGTAATGTCTGTCTGAGTTCAGGCAAATAAAGTTAGGAAGGTGTCCATACAGAGGGAGTTACGTATGCAGAGGTCCAGAGGTGCAAATTTATCATATTTAAAGGACCATAATTAGTTGAGTGCCATAGAGAAAGCATGCTGAGGGGGAGGCAGGGCTTAGTTGATGGTGGACCTTATATGCTATGCTACAGAGTTTTGACTCAATAAGAAAAATTTTGAGACAACTGCAGTAGGATTCAAAGCAAGAGAATGCTCTGATCAAATCTGTGATTTAGATACGCCACTAGGATGGCAGTGCAGAAAACATATTGGAACGGTAAATCGAGAGAGAGAAAACTAATTAAGAAGCTGTAGTTATAATCTGGGTGAGAGATAAGGGTTTGAACTAAAGTAAAAGCAGTAAAGAGAGCAAAATGGAAGAACTCAAGGGATTTTTAAGGAGGTAGAATGACAGAACAAGGGAATACTGTATGGTTTGAAGTCAGGAAAGGTGTGTGTCAGGGTTTTATCCTTTCACCATACTTATTCAATCTGTATGCTGAGCAAATAATCTGAGAAGCTGCACTATATGAAGAAGGAGACTGCATCAGGATTGGAGAAAGACTCATTAACAACCTGTAATATGGAGAAGACACAACCTTGCTTGCTGAAAGTGAAGAGGACTTGAAGCACTTACTGATAAAGATGGAAGACCACAGCCTTCAGTATGGATTACACCTCAACGTAAAGAAAAAAGTCCTCACAACTGGGCCAATAAGCAACATCCTGATAAACAGAGAAAAGATTGAAGTTGTCAAGGATTTCATTTTACTTGGCTCTACAGTCAACACCCATGGAAGCAGCAGTCAAGAAATCAAATGATGTATTGCATTGGGCAGATCTGCTGCAAAAGACCTCTTTAAAGTGTCAAAAAGGAAAAATGTCAGCTTGAAGATTAAGGTGTGCCTGACCCAAGCCATGATATTTTCAGTCACCTCATATGCATGTGAAAGCTTGACAGTGAATAAAGAAGACAGAAAAAGAATTGATGCCTTTGAATTATGGTGTTGACGAAGAATATTGAGCATACCATGAACTGCCAAAAGAATGAACAAATCTGTCTTAGAAGAAGTACAGCCAGAATGCTGCTTAGAAGGGAGAACGGTAAGACTTCGTCTTATGTATTTTGCACATGTTATCAGGAGGGACCAGTCCCTGGAGAAGGACATCATGCTTGGTAAAGTAGAGGGTCAACAAAAAAGAGGAAGACCTTCAAGGAGATGGATTGACACAGTGGCTGCAATAATGGGCTCAAGCATAGCAATGATTGTGAAAATGGTGCAGGACCGAGCAGTGTTTTGTTCTGTTGTACATAAGGTCGCTATGAGTTGGAACCAACTTGACGGCACCTAACAACAGAATGACAAGATTCGTAGACTTATAGGATGTAGGATGAGGGAGACAGAGAAGTCTAAGGTGACTGCCAGATGATTCTCACTTGGGAGATTAGAAGGATGGGAGACTGGAAGAATGCTGCAGGGAAAAGCTGGCAAATCTGGAATAGGTTCCATTTTAGATTTGATGAATTGAGATTCCTGTGGAACACCCAAAATTCAGGTAAAAGGAGAGGTAGTTGGCTCTGGTTTACAGCTGATGTGCGCTAAATGTCCTCCTCCAGATAGTACTATGAGCACTCAGTTCATCCAGGAGTTACTAAGACTATCCATTTTCTTTATTTTTTCTCTTGTGTGTGTTGGGAGGAAAACATTTATATTTTAGGCACTGTCAATAGGCATAAATTTAGGAGTTATTACTGTATTTCGGATTAAATAGAACAACATTCCAAATGGCATAAGCCAAGAGAACCCACTACCTTTAACAAGTAGTTGATGGAGCCATTGAATTTGGCTGGTAAATGGAAATGCCTACCTTCCTCTGTCATAATTAACCTTGAATCATGGCAATTTTGAATTATGTGAGATGTTCAAGCATCATCCCTCACCTAAGATGTGACACCTCTGTAAATGAATTGGGAAGTACAGAACCATATCCAACTCTCCCCTGCCTCTCCTGCAGGTTCAGAGGTATGAGGCAGCATCTACTATTTATGGGCCACATACTCTGTCTGCTTACATCCAGCTCTTCAGAGGCCTTGCTAAGGCCATTGCTACGGTAATCAAATATAGTGTGTGTGTGTGTGTGTGTGTGTGTGTGTGTGTGTGCGTGTGTGCGCGCACGCCTCAGGGTTGGAGAGATGAGAGGGAAGCAAAAGAGAGCCTTAACTTCAAGTGTTCAGTTACTTTCAAAACTTGAAATTTATATTCAGTTCACATCCTTTGGTGTTGGCAGTTTTTTTTTAGATATAGTTATCCTGCTAATCATCGTGAGACATAAAGTGGTATCATTTTTTCCCCTCATTTTTCAGATGAGCAGCTAGGCTCATAGATCGTAAGTGACCAGGCTTACTTGAACTGGGAATCAAATCAGAGATCTCTAATTCTGACAGAGTTTCTCCAATCACTTCATGAGTTGAGCAGGTCATTGATTCTAAGATACTCATTTTATACTTTATAACATCTCTGAGGAAACCCTGATGGCATAGTGGTTAAGAGCTACGGCTGCCAACCAAAAGATTGGCAGTTTGAATCCACCAGGCGCTGCTTGGAAACCCTATGGAGAATTCTACTCTGTCCTATAAGGTTGCTATGAGTTGGAATGGAATCGACTTGACGGCAGTGGGTTTGGGTTTTTTTTTTTTTTTTGGTTAACATCTCTGAAATTAAGATGTATTTTTCAACCTGTGGAATCTGACAGTTATAATTAATAGCATGTTTTTACTTTCTTGGTGGTTCAAAAAATAATAATAATCAGTGGAGTCTTATATTCAATGAAATACAGTAGTACCTTGGAACACATACTTTGTATCTACCTAAAATATACGCACATACACAAGTTTACTTGACTTAAAGGAACTTCACTTGTGGAAGTCTTCCTTTTTGGATACAGTTATTTATGAAGCTGCATTACAGTGTCATAAGGTTAGTGAACAAGTAGGATAAGTAACTTAAAATAATAAACAGACCCTCATATACCAACAGCCCCAATAAAAGTTATTAAACGGTTATGGCATAGCAAAGACAATAACGCCCTTTTAAAAAAAGCTTGAATATATTAGATTGAAACAAATGAGATTGCTGTTTCTATAGGTCAAAATAGTTGAATATTGGCAATGCCCTATGTTTTGATCTAATTAGTTGGTGATTGTGTGTTTGAAATTTCAGTATATTTATTTACTTTTGGATATATTTCAATTACCTGATTATTGTTTTCCTCTCAATTTTGGGACTGGTACTATTTTTAAGTAAAAGTATCTTTATTTTTTATCATAAAACCTATACCTATTTTAGATCACGCAGAAAAGTATAAACCTTTAAGCCATCATTAGAAATAATCACTGTTTAAGTTTCATTACAGTTGTAGATCTGTAGTTCTTGTTATGGAACTGTTGTGTGCTGTCGAGTTGATTCCAACTCATAGCTGTCCCTGTAGGACAGAGTAGAACTGCCCTATAGAGTTTTCTAGGCTATAATCTTTACCAGAGAAGATCACCACACTTTTTCTCCCATGGAGAGGTTGGTGGGTTTGAACTGCTAACCTTTTGTTTAGCAGCCAAGTGCTTAACTATTGCACCAGCAGGGTTCCTGCTGTTGAACTAGAGTGTTCAGATATTATGGTGATATTTTGTGAAGAAAAATGCAATTCACGTTAGGAAATTTATTTCACAGTCAACTTTGTAGTTATACATTTTAAGACTAGCTATGTGATCTTGAGAAAATCAATGAGTATCTCCAAGTCTATTTTCGCATTTGAAAAATGAAAATGGTAGTATAACATATTCTTATGCAAATAATGCGTGCCTTCTACATTTGTTTGCCAACTGCTCCCTCCCCACTGCAAGAAATTTTCATAAGCATGTTGTGCTAATTTTTTTTCACAGTAACATGTAAAAAAAATTGGCATAGTGGTGCTATAGTGGCGGGGGGGGAGTGGTTGGCAAACAAACGTAAAAGGTGCATGTTATTGGTCTTAAAAATATGGTATACCTATCTCATATGGTTGTTGTAAAGATTAAATATATGAGGATTAAAGTATGTTAAATACACTTGAAGGGATATTTAAAATTTGTGATTAACGTTTTGACGACACTTTTAAAGGTGGTAAATTTTGTGGAAAACAGATTAAACCAGACAGAATGTAGGTTAATCTTGAATTTTAAGTTAACAATATGTTATTATAATCTTTAATTAGTAAAGAATTCAGGAAAAAGACTTGGTATTGACTCTGGGTTGGTGAGGCTGAATACTTTTTTAAAATTAAAAGAATAGTAATAGTGCCATGTTATAAAGGCTTATAAATTAGGGCCCTATCCAAAGGTACCTAACTAAGAAATCACAGTACCAAAGCTTAAACCTGAGTCATTTATTTCTAAGCTTGCACTCTGATCACTGGATGTACTCTCTATGGGCATGAAAATGTTGCCTCTGACCAAAACTTTTCTTCTAATGACAAAAATTTAAATTATGGACATCTAAGCTTACATTTCGGAGCCCTGGTGGTATAGTGGTTTAAGAACTTGATTGCTAACAAAAAGATTGGCAGTTCGAATCCACTGGCCGCTTCTTGGAAACCCTACAGGGCAGTTCTACTCTGTCCTACAGGGTCACTATGAGTTGGAATCGACTCGATGGCAATGGGTTAGGCTTACATTTGAGCAAGGTTCCCCTCATATTTTATTAAAGATTGTTAGCTCTTGGAGTGTGAGTGTGTGTGTTTGCATGTGAAGGCATATCTGAGGCTGGGAGCCGGGGGAAAGAGTCTTTGTCTCTACATTATACTCTCCTTAAACAAATGCTCTCTGTTTTAGGACACGGTAGCCAACCTGAGCAGAGGTCCAGAGCCTCCGTTTTTCACAAAACTGATAACCCCTTTAATTCTTAATACTGTGGATAGAACACCAGCAGGCAAAAATTTTGGGGATGTTCTACAGCCAGCAAAACGAGAATACAGAGTGGTAAGACTCACAAAAAGATCTTGAAATCCTTCAGATGCTTATTTTTGGGGGTGGTGGTATTTAATGTCACCACCTGCCCAGATGTTAGTAGGGATAATTTTGATAATTATTCTTATCTCTGCAAGGCTCTGCAAAAGTAATAATGAGACTGAGGAAAATATTTATTTTTCAGGTAGTAATTACATAATATTTAATTTCTAAATCCAAACTATTCCATTTCTTCTTAAATGCATGGTGATGGAACTATTCACTGGGACTGAGAGAAGTTGTCACTTAAATCAAGGATAGGAAAAGCATTTAGAAATGAAACAGGATTTGTACCACTACCACAGGTTTCCCCCGCTATCCAAAAGTAGAGTGTTCCTATGAAACCTTTTGTAAGCCGAAATAGTGTAAAGCAAAGAAGCAATTACCATTAATTTATATGGGAAAATTTTTTTAGTGTTCCCAGACCCAAAAAATAACCTACCAAATCATATCAAATAACACATAAAATACTTACGAGCTCTCTTAGGCTTTTCTGATACCTCAGGACACAGCTTGCTAACAGAAGCACAAAATAAATTGAGATAACACACAGATGCTCACAGACAGTTCAAAGCTATGGCAGCTTGATGCTGAGTGTAGTTCCCAGGGAAGGAGCTTGGCGATGCCACTTTGGTTGCTCGGGTGTGTGCTGCCTCTTTAACGGCTCTTTGCAAAACAAATGCTGAATGCTAGTTCTGATTTTTGCCTTTTTTCATAAAAGTGAAAATCCTTTTCGAATTTCTTTCGGTACTAACAGATACTAAAGCAGGCCTTTTGTAAAAGTGAAGTGGCATAAAGTGAACTTTCCAAAAGCAGGGGATACCTGTATTTGTATATTGATCTTGTTTGTGTTCTGTAGCCTTGCTAAATATTTTATTAGTTCTTCTAGTTTTCTGTGTGTTCCTTAGGAATTTCTACATAAAGAATTACGTCGTCTGATAATAAACGCAGGTTTGCTTTTTACTTTCTGGATTTCTTTTCTGGGAGATATGGAAAATATATTTATAGAATCTTTTATATTTACGCATATATTCAGCATTTTTGATACTTTTCTTCTAAAGAATTTGAGTTACCATCTGCTGTCATTTCCTTTCAGTCTGAGGACTTCCTTTGGTATTCTCTGTAAGGTAGTTCTGCTAGCAACAAATCCTCTGTCTTTATTTATCTGGGAATGTTGTTATTTTGCCTTTGTTTTTGAAGAATATTTTTGCTGCATTCTTGACTGATGAATTTTTTTCTTTTACCACTTGGAATATGCCAGCCCGTTGCCTTGTGTTTCTAATAAGTTTCTGTTTCTGATAAGAAGTCAATATGTTCATCTTATTGTAGTTCTTCTGTAAGACATGAGTTATTTTGCTCTTGGCTGCTTTCAAAATGTTCTCTTTGTCTATGTCTTCCGCCAGTTTGATACAGTGTATCTAAGTGTGAATCTCTTTGTGATTATACTGCTTGAATCTATAAAGTAATTTTCATCAAATTTTGTATTTAGATTTTCAGCTACTATTTCTTTAAAAAAAAGTTGTTTCCCTTTCTCTCTTTCCTCTACTTCTCGTATTCCTGTTTCACAAAGGTTGGTACACTTGATGTCCCACATGTCTCTGGGTCTCTGAGGCTCTGTTTATTTTTCTTCAATCTATTTTTTCTGTGTTACTCAGATAGGATAATATAAATTGATCTATTTTCAAGTTCACTTATCCTTTCTTCTGTCAACTCACATCTGTTGAGCTTCTCTAATGAAATTTCATATTGGTTATTGTAATTTGCAACTCCAGAATTTACATATGATTCTTTTTAATAATTTCTCTTTATTGAGGTTCTCTGTTTGTTAAGTCATTGTCATCATACTTTCCCTTAGTTTTTTAAATATGATTTCTATTAGTTTTTAGAACATTTTTGTATAACTGCTTGAGGTTTTTGTTTGCAGAATCCAGCATCTGGGGACACCCAGAGATAGTTCGATTGTTGCTTTTTCCTCTTAATATAGGTCATGCTTTCTTGTTTTTATATCTCAGCATTTTTTGTTAAATACTGGATTTTTTGAATATATTGTGGCAACTCTATTTCTGACTTCACTCTCTTCACCACTGAGCGTTGTGGTTTGCTTGTTTATTTATATCTTGCTTGAACTTAATTGATAAAGTCAGTCTTTCCTGAACTATAACTGCTGAGGTTTCTGCTCAGTTTTTTTATTCTCAGTTTTATATTTAAATCTGGATCTCTGGGTGTTACCCCTGTGATTGCATAGCTTAATGTTCAGCCAGTGATTGGTCAAAGGTTATGGTTAAATGCCTCGAAGATTAAGGCTTTCAATCTTTGGTGACGGATCTGGGTGGGCTGAGGAGTACATTCATACCTCAGACCATTTTCAAGTTTGCCCCAGCCTTTAATTTACCTGTCCACAGATTCCACTGGCTTCAGATAGTTCCCTCCCGTGCATGCAGAGTTGAGGGAAGCCCTCTGCAAATTTCTAGAGTTCTCTATCTCTGCAGCTCTGCAGCTGTCCACTCTTTGATACTCTTCTCTCTCTCCGGTACTCTACCCTGTGAAATCAAGACTCTTTGGCCTCCATGGACTTCCATCTCCATATCCTCAATTTAAGAATACTACCTAGCTTCAACTGAATTCTGCTTTCTTGTGTCATGGCCTGTAAACTCTCTGAAGGCATTAAGTTGAGATGATTGTAGGGCTCATCTTGTTTATTTTCTGCCTCTCAAGGATCACTGTCTTTGATTGCTTGAGGCTCACTGTCTTAAAAAAAACATTGTTTTATAAATTTTGCCCAGTTTTTTAGTTATTTTATGGGGGAAGCTAAATCTGTGCTATAACACTCCATCTTGGATAAGCATAAATATAAGTATAAATTGCCCATGGAAAGTGTCAAATGTTCTTATTTGATTCAGTACATCCCCTGTCTGTGTGTGTTGGCAGGGATGGGGGGCAGGGGGGCATACACCAAGTGGTGAAGAAGCCATTTTAATGTGCTATAATTAATACTAACTGTAGTTCTAACTCTTCATCTATATTTAAATCTACCACAAACAAATTCATTGGCCAAAAATTCTGGAGTAATTCATTGGTAAAAAATTCCTGCATCCATTGTTGCAAGGGTGATTTCTCTAATATTCTTGGAAGATAACTCACTTGAATGAATAGAACAGAATCTATCCAGGCACCTAGAATTGTAGAACATATAAATAATTATGCCATAAATATGAGCAAAGTAAAAAATCCTTTAATTAGAACTCATGACTTTTTTTTTCAGGGAGAAGTTGCTAAAGTTACATTTGTAGGTGCAAACCCAAAGAATTCAGCAGAAAACCAGGTAAACACCAATGATTCTTTTTAAAAATGTAAATCCATGTTTTAGCCTTTTGATTTATTTGACTATCCCTCTAGAGGTTAACAACATAAAGATAAAATGTGGCAAATCTTTTCGACTTTTGTTCTCTAGGTGTGGAAAGATTTCCAATGGTATAGTTAATGTGGAATTGAGTCCGGGAAAAAAGTACACAGGAAACATTTGATGGGCTCTCCTTTGGGCCATGTACAGAACAATGCATGTAGCACTGCCTTGTCTCTAGAGAAGAAGTTAATATGAACACATCCCATTTATGTGTTCATATGTGAAATTCTAGTACATTTGATAAAATAATTCAAGGGCCAAGCAGGTGAAGTGTTCTTTGGCTTCTTCTTCCTCTGTTTTTGGCTCTCTCCACCTCCTCCAGTATTGCTGTCTCTGGTCCTGTCTCTGTCATTGTGGAATTACTATGGATCACCTGGGTGGATACTCTACTGGCATGGAGCCCTGGCCCACATGCTTTATATTTTCCTGTAATGGCCATTTCCCTATTCCTTACTACTGGCACTAATAGGGCGTTTATTTATTTAGTCTTGAAAAATGACACAAGAAATACCATGCCTCAAGTAAAAACAAATGTCATAGAAGGGAATAGTGTAGAGAAGTATCCCTCTCTCTACAAACCTGCTTTCCAGAGGAAATCACTATAAACTATTAGTTTGTTACATATCATTTTAGAATTTTTTGTTATTAGCATATGTCATATATATGATAAAGTCTATATATATGTATAAATGAAGTAATTTTACTCTTCTGTAACTTTTTTAAGAATGTTCTTGTAACTACACGAACAATACATACATTCTAGTTGTAAAAATTCAAACAAAAAAGTATATAGAGGAAAAAGTAACAGGGCACACAAAAGTAATTTGAAGGCCAGATTTTTTACTGTGGCTGAGGATGCATTCACCTGATGAGCCATTCTTCCCAGGGCCCACAGTCACTTATAATCCAAAGTATCTTTCTTTCAAATGGGCCTTCCAATTTCTGTTCTTTAAAATGTCATTATTGCCATAATATCAATTTTGGCAGTATGACATTGTCAAACATGACACGGGAAAAATGTTCTGCTGCTTAGATAGTCAAATGCACCTGTTTGAAATAATTTCTCTTGGAAATTAAACTATGCCAGAATATTATTTACATGTTTATAACATTTTTTTTTTTCTGAAGACATCAAAGTGTTATATCAAAACTGCAGATTTAGCTGTCATCTGATATCCTTAGGGTGGAAAAATACTGTCATCATTATTACCACAGAGAAGCAGAAGAACAAAATGCTTAAAGCACTGTAGTATTAATTTCTAAGAATGCTCTGGAACACAGTATAAAACAGTCTCTGGTAGCCTTTATTATCAGTAACCATCACATCATCATCGACCTCATCATTTATTGAATGCTTACTATTTGCAGGTACTAGGCTAAGTGCCTTACATATATTATCACATGAATCCAATTTAATCCTCACTACTACCCAGTGAGTTAGGTTTTATCATCACTGTTTTACAGATAAGTAAACTGAGGCCTACAGAGATTAATTAACTTGTATTAACTAATTATACATCTGGAAGAGATTGATAGGGAGGTGGAAGAGAAGAGTCCCGCGTTTTGTCCCTAATGTTCAACTGCCTAGAGCCATTCTCCAATCTGTTCTCTAGATACTATTCACTAGGTTCCACCCTATCTTCTGTCATCTAAAGCCTACCCAATATCACTCTGTCCAAAATAGGCAGAAATGAAGCTATCTTTACAAGTCACTGTGGTTATGAAAACTTTATTAAATATGATCCATCAATTGAATAATTAGAGAAGATTTTTAAATGATCCCATGGCCTAGCTGTAAATAAGTCATCCATTCAAAAAATGTTTGAGCAACTGTAAATAACAGGAGTGAAGGACTGTGGTGGGTAAGGTGATTAGACACAAGTCTTGCCATCAGTCTAAAGGATTTTGAGAGAAATTGGAGATTTATGGCCTTTGTATCTTTTTATTTGTCATATTATTCAAATCTGTGCTTTACTTGAAGCTGAATTCTTAGTCTGGAACAAATCGCTCTATTATCATATTCTTCTAATGGGGAAATAAAATCCTCTTATGATGTGGTTTCTGGGAGCCCATTATGACCAACTATCAGGACTGCCTTTATCACCCCACGACAAGGATAATTGATACATCCTTGTCAATTCTTTTTTCACTCCATAAAGTACGTTAACTAATAACTCATTTACCTGAAGATGGAAAGGTGAGGAAAGGCTTCCATTTTTCCCTCCAAAATCTTGAGGTGGTTAGAAAAAGTCTTGGAATATGGATCAATAAAGATGTTATGTTTTTTTAAGTCTCAAGTGTATTCCCCAGACTCTTCTCTGCCCTTATTTCCACAATTTGTTAACAGCTCTACAATTATACTTCATTCAGTTGTCAAAAAAACTCACAGCTCTTTAGTAGGCTGAATAAATGAATATTCTGAAGTCATTCCATAGATTAAGAGGAACATGTAAGAATGTGGATGAAATTCTAATACATTTTTGAACAAGTTGTTAGTTAGCATTTGGTAAACAAGGAGAGGGGGTATTTACAGAGAGGTTCCTGCTTGTGACTGTGTAATGCCTGATCAGTTATATTAACTGTGTTTCAGACTCATCACACCTTCCTCACTGTGGAGAAATACGAGGCCACGTCAGCCTTGTGGCAGGTAGTGCATAATGACGCCTCCTGGGAGACTCGGTGAGCATGTTTATTGAATATTTTGTCTTTCAAGTCTTGAAAACAGTTGGCTAGTAAGGCAGGGAAGACAAATGAGAAGACTAAAACCATACATGGTATTAATGATATCAAATTTCCAAGGAGCATTCTGGCCATATTGGGTGGATTTTATTAGACTTCCTTTTGATTCTGTTTTTCTACAAAACAGCAGGGTGTATGCTTCTGTAAGATTAGGTGCTAATGAAGTTATGGCCTCCATTATTATGGACACCTGTTAGTTCTGGTTTTATTTTTCATGGTCACAGGAATTACCCTGAAAGCTGGCTCCACTTCTTGCAAATTGATTGAAAGGGGTGCTGGGTGAAGGTGTTGAGATGGCTTTGGAAAGCCTGACATTCTTCCTGGGAAAATAGCCTATACCGGATATGTATTGCATGTTTATATGCTGCCAATAATTATTCATTTGAGTTATTGATACACAAAAGATTTGAGGGTTTAACTCTTACCCAGTCAAGCAGGGAGAGAACATGCTCACGGAATTTCCTCAGAGAGATACATCTCAGTGTCTTTTCTTACCAAATTCCTGAGCTGAATAGATATTTTGAATATTTGACAATGTGTCTTAAATAAGAGAATGTTTCTGTTCTCATGTCTATAAAACTCATACCACAAGATGGGTATGAAATGGAAGTGGGTAAAATTATGGACAATTTTTGTCTAATTTAGATTGCCTCAAACTATGTATGTTGGTTTGGTTCATGTGGTTAACCGAAAGTAAGGATTTGACCATGCTGTGGTCCATTTGTTGTTAACCATAAATATGGGCATAATTCTTCCCTCTGGTCTTTACGACTCCAGGGAATAGATGATTTTTTTAAAAATAGTAATACATATTTATTGTAAAACAAGGTTATATAGATAATAAAAAATGATTTATTTTCAAAAATGAAAAGTCAGATTAGCAGTCCACCTTGAGGATGTTATGTGTAGACATCTGTCTTGTTTATCATCAATATCATAAAATATGTATTAAGATCACTGGCTGTCACTGAGAAACACAGACTATTGAGCATACCCTTTGTGCCCAAAGAATTTGCTCTTTATCTAACTGAGGATATCAGTCAGGTAGCTCATTTTGTCTCACTGTATCTAGAATATCTGAACCCCTTGTCATAGTCTTCAAGGACCAACATGATTTATTAGGCTCCATCTATTTCTCTCATTTCAGCCACACTCCCATAGTTCACAATGTTCTAATCCTCATCTGCTCTCTGTTCCCTAGCCACACGAAGTTTGTTCCGGTTTAGAATACTTTGCATGCTCTGTTCCTTCTTCTTGAAATGTTGTTCACATCTGTGTGGGCTCCTTGCTATTATTCAGACTGAGTTCAAATGCTGCCTCCTTATAGAGGGTTCTGTCTTATTTTCCTCATTGCACTTATCACTTTAAAATTATTTACTAATTTACTTGTTTACTGACTTTCTTCCCACCTCCACCCAGGAGAATATACATTCCATGGAACTTTGAACTACAGGTAGTCCCTGACTTTCAATGTGTTTAAGTTATGAGGAACCACACTTACGATTGTCTTTTTTTTTTTTTTTAACATCTTATCATAAGTAATATGTACTACATACAGTGTTGCAGCATGTAATTTGCTGATGTGATCATTCTCAGATGTTCACTTGAAGATGTTCAATGTTATGATTTACTGTTCAAAAACACTGCCGTATAGCAGGCTATGACACTAATAATGAAAACTTAAAAAAAAAAAGAGGTATTTGATGATGTCAGAACTGACTTATGACAGAGTTGTCAGAACAGTACCCGTCATAAGTCGGGGACTATCTGTATGTCTGTCTTGTTCACTATAGTATTCTGAGTGCCTCTAACATAGAGTCTGATCTCTCTCTTTCTTTTTATATATATGTACATATATATTTATATTAATTAAGATAAGAAAAGAAGTGTCAGTTGAGGCAAGGTATGGTAATGGTTAAAATGATGCTATAGCAATTCTAAGACAAGAAACATCCTGTATTCTGAATATCGAGTCAAGCTTCTTGGGATAGATATAGCTTAGGTAGTTAGAAGGGTAGAACAAGTAATTTATGCAAATAGCTTTTCTTTAAAGTTCCTCTTCTAGAAAGTAGGGATTTATATTTGTTTTTCTGTTTTGTTCATTGCTATACCTCCAATGTCTAGCATATAGGTACTTAATGAAGATTTGTTGAACAAATGGCTATCTAATCACATATTTTTAAGAGTAAAATAGGGATTTTTTTGTTTGTTGTCTGCCCACAGTTTTTATTGGCACAAGGGATTACTGGGCCAGAGCAGTGCAACAATAGAATGGTATATTCCGGCCACTGCCCAGCGTGGAATTTACAGAATAAAATACTTTGGACACAATCGGAAACAGGATATTCTCAAGCCTGCAGTCATGCTTTCATTTGAAGGCACTTCTTCTGCTTTTGAAGTTGTATCTACTTAGTGAAAAGTGGGCAAATCAATTAAAAAACAGCTTTACTCCGTATGATTTATAAAACTGATTTCACGTGAGTGTAAACTACCAAGTTGACTGCTATAATTGTCCCTATTTGGGGACAAACAGAGAGTTTACTGCTAATAGGACAGAGGGAGGTGTGTGTGTGTGTGTGTGTGTGTGTGTGTGTGTGTGTGTATGTATGAGAGGTGTGTCCCATTTATCTTGCTCCAGCAGCTATGTAGCTTGTGGTCTACGGCCTAAAGCATGATTTACTTAAGGCTTTGTGGCCTTTTAAAGGGATAATTCCCTTCAATACGAAACTTCTGAAATGTTAGTAAGAGTTGTTAAAGATGTGTGAACAATGTTTAACCTATTTATTTATGGAGTTATTGAATGCTAGCACCGGAAAAAATTATAGAAATCATTTTACAAATGGGAAAACTGAGCTTTTGTGGATTTAAGATTAGCATAAGGTTACAGGACATTTCCCCCCATCACATTTAAAAAACAGTACGTAAAAATTGACCATCCCTGTATGAGCCCAAATATAGAAATGAAAAATTAACATGCCAGTTTTTCTGCATTCAAATAAGCATAGCTTTTTCAAAGCAGTCATCCTGGAGTTGATATGCCCAGTGCAGGGTTGTTGTTGATACTAAAATCATTTCTGCAATTGCCTTCAGAACCCAATTACAAGAAAGTCAGACTTGTAATATTTTGATCATGCCTTATGTTTTCTTAAGTGTCCTTACCCCATCTTGATTGTGTCTCTTCTTCCCAAGACTTGTTCTAAATGATTTTTTACTGTTTTTGTTGATCAAATTCACTCCTCCCCCAAACAAACAAACTCACAGCTTTGCCATTAGTGTAGATATTCAAACAAAAGTGGTTCTGGCTAGGAAAGCAGTCCTTAAAAAGGGAAGGCTCTAAATTCATTCATTTGTTCTTTCATTAGTCACTCACTCACGGATCCATTGAGTTGTAGACTATTTATTGAGACTTACTCATGAACCCAGCATTGCACTACTGCCTGGGCCTTGACAAGCAGTGATATCATATTTGGGATGAATGTAAGCATCAAAAGATGACTATTTTGAATGAGAAAATATTCAATTTGATACACAAATTCTGGGAAGGCATTTAAAAGTCAGTAATTTAGTCACTTCTGTGAAGATGTACGGCCTTGGAAACCCTATGGGGCAGTTCTACTCTGTCCTGTAGTGTCGCTGTGAGTCACAGTCCACTTGACAGCAATGGGTTTGGGAATCTTCAAGTCACATCTTGTATATCATTTGTATTAGATGCTCTAATTTGGGGGGAAAGAGGCTGCAAACAATTTGGAAAATGCTGTTTTGAAAGTTAATTTGAGGCATGGTGAAACACCCAGCCTAATGTCCCAAAGAGTAAAATATGACAATCTGGTGTTGATTGCCTGGAAGTGCTAATAGCATTTAAAATGATCCAAGTTAACTAGCTCCCAGGCTATCCAAGTCATACTTCTGTGTGTGTGCAGAAGCTTTAGCATTTTAGGGAAAAATCAACCTTTATTTCAACAATAAACTTTAATGTTTGAAAAATAATAATGATATTGACAATGATAATAGTAACAATCATTTATGTACAGTTTAACCACTTAAACATACTTTATCACATTGGAATGACTCTGGAACACTCCTCGATGAATCAGTAGTTGAGAGACTCTTTATGGAACCTAACTGCTGGAGAGTTAACTAATCTGGGATTTCAGAGGATAATTTTTCCAAATGAAACCACAGTATTTAGTGTAAAAGTTCAGAGGCCTAAAAGAGCAGGTGACTCTGAAAGTAGTTGACTCCAGACAGATATATTAGATGCTATCAAATGGTTGTAAAAAGTATTTCTCATTACACAGAGGAGTGTCTGAATTATTTCCCACCACCTCCATTCTCCCATTGAGGCTTTCCTCAGTTTTTCTGTGATTCCCTCTCGCTCACTGGTAACTGTGCTGAGGTGGCCCCTGTATCATCTACTGATCCTTCTGCACCTAACCACTTGGCTACCAGTACTCTCGGCCCCAGATAAGCCACAGAAACATCCTTTCTCACTAGCCCCCATCTCTTCCAATCCATGAACTTCTATTTCTGCAGTTTGTGTGTAAAAATAAAGTCAGATCTCTGCATTATAGATACTACAGTTTTTCTCTTGAGCAGAAAAGAACACCACAAAGATTTAATTGCTTACTATGAAAACACAGGTCCAAGTCTGTGGTGGCTGCTGCTGGGAGTGGCTCGTTGGAGCCAAACCATGAAAGTTGGTGGGGAACATGGAAAATAGGGGTTGGGTTGGTGGGAGAATTATTTTGGAGACTTTGTTTCTCATGTCCAAGTGTCTGTATTTTATTTGTTGTACCCTGCCTACTTTTTTTTTCTAAGGATGTTCTGACTTCTTCACAAAGCATTATGATCCTTCTTCTGGGTACATACATGTATATAT